GACAGCTTGAAATACCCTGGCCACCACCCGAGTGTAGGTGGCGCCTGAGTTCTTTAGGCCGAAGGCCATGACAAGGTAGCATAAAATGCCCTCGGGAGTCATGAAGGTTGTTTTTTCAGTGTCTTCCTCATGCATAAATATTTGATGATATCCGCGGAATGCGTCGAGGAATGACATGATTTTGCATCCCGCGGTTTCATCTACAAGTTGATCAATATTTGGCAAAGGAAAGGGGTCCATGGGACACGCCTTGTTGAGATCCGTGTAGTCCACGCACATGCTGAATGAGGCCAGTTTTTGTGCAAGGACCACGTTTGCCAACCATGAGGGGTACTTTACCTCCTTGATGTGCTTGATAGAGAGGAGCATGGCGACCTCCTTCTTCACAAATTCCCTCCTCTCGGCCGAGAGGGGTCTCCTTCGCTGCTGTACTGGTTTGGCCGAAGGGTCCACCGAGAGGCGGTGGGTGATGACCCTTCGGCTGATCCCCGGCATGTCCTCCGCCCCCCATGAAAAAACGATGGAGTAGGCGCGTAGGGCGCTGATGATGCCGGTCTTCAAATCTTCAGGGAGCTTGGCTCCAATCTTCACGACTCTCTCCGGCTTGGCCGGATCGAGCGCGAAGTCTTCTACCTCCTCGGCTGGTTCAGCCCTCGGCCTCCTTTCTTCTGCTTCCACAGTTCCGGTGATGGTGTTAACGCGGAACTCCGTCTTGCTAACCTTCTTCGTTACTTGAAGGTAGCAAGCGCGGGCAAGCTTTTGGTTCCCTCTCGAATAACCGATGCCCCCCTCGGCTGGGAACTTGAGGCAGAGGTGCCTCATGGAGATGACGGCTTCGAGATCCTCGAGGGCTGGCCGACCGAGGATGATGTTGTGGGCGCAGTCGATGTTAACGACGACGAACTCCACCTCGAGCTTGGCTCTATGGAGCCCGTCGCCGAAGAGTACCGGGAGGGTTATAACCCCCTCGGAGTCAATGGTGTCGCCGGTGAAGCCGGCAAGAGGGGTCTTGATGGGCCGAAGGGACCCCCTCTCCAGATGCAGCTCTCTGAAGGTACTGAGGTACATTACATTGACGGAGTTGCCCGTGTCAATGTAAGTCCGGTGAATTATAGTGTCATTGATCTCTGTGCGGATGACGAGGGCATCCCTGTGTGGGGAGGACACTGGGGGGAGATCAGCGTTAGTGAAGATGATGGGTTCCTCCCTCAGCCGCTTTACTGGGGGCATATGAGTGACTTCCCCCACGTAAAGTGACTGAGCCCACTTCTTTCGCTGACTCGTGGAGTCACCCCTGATATTGCCCCCGGTGATCATGAGGATGTGGCGCTTCTTTTCCTGGTACCGGGGGTGCTCCTCCTCCTCTTCTTCCAGGTTCCCAATCTCCCTCTTCTTGCCGAGTGGGATGGTGTTGGGGTTGACCCATCCATTTGCTCTCGCAGTTTGCCCTCGGGGTGGCCCTTGATGAGGGGGGCCTTGTCGTTGAGGGCCTTGAATAAATTGGGACAAATGGCCCGCCTGTATTAATCTTTCGATGGCCGTCTTCAGCTGATGGCAGTCATCAGTTCTGTGCCCCTGATGCCGGTGGAAGCGACAGTAGGGGTAGTTTGGATTGATGGCATATACCTCCGGGGGTGCGCGGGAATCTCGCTCCACCAGGCCCCTCTCCTCGGCGAAATCAAGAATGACGCTGACGGGGTGCGTCAAAGGTGTCCGAGGGTGCTCCAGGAGAACAGGTTGTGCCCAAGCCCTCGGGTTCCCCTTGTAGCCTCCCCCGAGCTTGGCTTGGCCATGCCGGGGGTGATCACCGGAGGGGGCAGAATCCTTGGGTTGGTTACGGGGAGCCCCCGGCCCCCGGTTACCTCTGTCGTCTGGCCGAGGGCGTTGCTGATCCGGGACGTGATGGCATTTCTCTACCTCCTCGGCTTCGGCACACCGGTCCCCCCGTTGTAGGGCCCATATATAATCGCGAGGGGGTGGGGGGTGGGGGGTCGATGATGAGGCTCCTTGAGAAGTTCCCGGGGCGGAGTACTGTTTGGAGGAGGGCCAGGAGGGTCCCATCGTCGGTGCCATCAAATTTATCAGCCTCCGTTCTCCAGCGCTCCAAGAAGTCCCGAAGGGTCTCCTCCTTCTTCTGCCTCACTGTCAGTAAGTGGGAGAAGTGCTTCCTTGTGCGGCGACTTCCCGCAAATTGCGTCAAAAATCGTTGGACGAGTTCTTGCCATGAGTCAATGCAGCCCTCGGGCAATCGATTGAACCATTCGTAAGCTGGCCCCTCTAAGGTGGAGAGGAACCAGCGACACAAATACTCATCCGATGCCCCCACCATCATCATGTTGTTTTGGCATCTGCTTAGTGCTCCTGGGGGTCAGTTTTCCATCGTAGGGCTTGATGAGCTGCCCTCGGTATTTCTCCGGGATCCGGGCCACCAATACCCTTGGGGTGAAAGGCATCCGGGTCCGGAGCTGTATGGTGGGTTCCCCGGAGCCCTCAGTTATCTTTCTCTGCATTTCCTCCATCTTGGCCAACATGGCCTCATACTTGAGGTCCGTATGAGGGGCAGAAGTTGTGGCATGTGCTTTGGTGGCCTCCATCTCATCAAACCGGCGCTGGAGGGCCGCAATGATTTCGTCCCGGGGGTCCTTCGGGAGGGCCTCCGCCCCTTGCGAATGGACACGGGCCGAGTGGGCCTGGTTGATTTGGTGACGGGCATCGTTGGCATGGAGAGGTGCTTTGCCTTTGTCCTGAGGGGGACGTCTTTCATTGGCCCTGGAGATGGACCCGCCACTTTCCTGAGGCCTCTGGAACGCCTTCCCCCCGAGGCGGTCTTGGACCCCTCGGCGGTCTTGCGCCCCTCCGAGTCTCTCGAGGGCGGAGGTCCGGAGTTGTTCTTTGTTCACGTTGTGGCAGTCCCGGGATTGGACTTCCTGGGAGGCTGTATCTTGGGCCACAACCCCCTCGACGTTCCCAATCCGGAGGACCGGGTTCCCGAGGGGGTGTAGATGAGGAGGTGGCATGATATTCTCCCCGACCTAGGGTTGAAGGGGAACCAAAGTACCGAAGGCACCCGGGGTCTGGGTGAGCGTCTGGATGAAGGCGGAAAACGCCGATTGTACGTCGATTGTGATGACCTGAGGGCCAGGTTCCTGTCCTCAACATTCTTGAAGTTGGCACGAGTTGTTCTCACCATTTTAGCTAGGTGTTTTTGTGTTTGGCGAGGGGGAGGGTTTCTTACTTGATCATTCGACCTCTCAACGAGAGCACCAAATGATGGATAAGTGTACCCGGGGGTATCTATCCGAGGGGTTACTGCGGGGAATAACTAGAGAGAAGTCAGAGCAAACAAGAGAGAGAAAGTGTATTGAGTATGTAAGTCAAGGCTTTTTGCGTGGTTTACAACGGGGAAATGAGGTGCTATTTATAGTAGCAATAAATGCCACACAGGGACACATGTCAAGCATCCACTGGCTGAGGGGTCACCTCAACTGGTTGGCGCTGGCAATCGCATGTGGCCGCATTTAATGCGGCTGTTGGATGTGAAATCGTACTTGGTACGGTGATCCATGCGCATGTGGAGCGGATATTATGTCGGAAAAGGTGCCCTCGGCTGTAGATGATTAGCCGAGGGCTCTGAGTACCGGGGGCCTCCTTAGTACCGCGGGCTCTAGGTGCCGAGGGCTACTGATTTTCGCCGTTTTCTCCCAGTAACTTTGTTTTCCTGATTTGGCCCTCCTTTAAGAATTGGAGCCTTCGGCCAGGGGGCCGAAGGCACCCCTAGTGCGCACTGTGGGCCGCTTGGTACTATGGGCGTTGAGATTTGGGCCTGTTGTGCTTCCTGGGCCTATTGGGCCTTTATTGGAGTAGTAAGAATCTGTGGACCGGAGGTTCCCGAGCCATATACTCCATCAGCGGCGTTTCCTGTCAGGCGAATGATTTAAAGAGACAGTGGGAGGGCGGTCATTACCACGCTCTACCTCTCCATGGTTTGCTTCTCTATGGTTGATGTTTTTGAATGTGCTGCTATGAATCGAATATGGAGGTATGTGATTGATACATTCGATTGGAAAATCGTCCGACAATTTGTGGATCGAGTTTTGAGCAAGGGAGAAGACAGACCAACACTCCGTCCCCCTCCTGAACTGCCGCCCTGGAGCGACCGAGGTGCTAGAGTTTGAAAGATGACACTTCAAGAATACTGGCAGAAAGGAGCTTGAAATATTTGTTAGTTATTTTGTTTTTTATGGTCTAACTTTTACGTTAAGTTGGTTTATGTTGCTCTGTTTTTTTGATGCATTTAGTTTTAGGTCTATGATAATGATTGACAATTCTGCTAGATATATGCTATGTTTGGGAGACATAAGTCTCTACCTTATAGCTTTTGTATTATTTAAAAAGTCCCTAAAAGCTTCTGGTTATATGTTTGGTATGACAATTGTTAAGAACTTTTTAAAAAATAAAAGATCTTTTTTGAGATGCTATATGGAGTAGCATCTGAGAAAAGTCTGTGGCTTTTTAGCATTAATCAGTTTCAAGAGCTTGTGCACCTAACAGAACTAAATCAAACAGTCAGTTTTATACCAAACATCTACCACCTTTTACTTTTAAGATGTTTCAGTCATTAAAAGCTAAAAGTTACTAAAAATTTTGTAAAAATATATTTGCAGCTAGTTGTACCAAACATACCCATATTATGTGATTAGAATGATCTATATGCTCAATGATTGCTGTGTCACACCCGTATGGTGATTAACGATTCATATTACTCTTTCAGGGATGAGCGTTTCAAATTCTAACCGTATGATTACCGATAGTTGTTGTCAATGTTGATTTTTTTTTGAGTTTTTTGCAACAATTTGAATCGTAATGATAATAATTAATATATAAACGTTTTTTTCTTTTTAAAAAACGAACGACCTATGGAAGTAAAACACAGTCACCCGCACGTGACATGAAACTGCAGGGGCAAACTCGCATAGCCGTAAAATGAAGGGGGCTAAAACGGGAGAATACGCCACTTTTTAAAGTCGGAAACCCTCCCTTTCCTCTTTCTCTCTCTAAACCCCCAAACCCTCGCCACACTGTTTCTCTCCCCTCTTTTGCGCGCCCGCCCGCCCGCCCGCTCTTTGTGGCTGCTGATACACCTTCTGCTCCTTTGTCTCCTCCACTCCGACCTTCTCTCGCTAGGGTTTCCCAGAGGATCTACCTATCAAGCTATGGCTGCTGCTGTTGCTCCTACCGCGGATCGTATCCTTATCAAGCTTATATAGCTTGATTTCTTTCGTTATAAGTTTCGTTTACCAAGTTTTTAATTTATGAATGGATTAATGGATTACGTATGTACTTTTCGGATCTGCCTTTTCGTTGACATTTTATGGATCTGGGAATTCCTTATATGTTCTTGTCTGAAGTTCTTTGTCCGTCTTGCAAAGGTTTTAACTGATTTCATCATTAATTTTGAATTTTAGAGTTTTATTGTTCTTTTATTAAAAGTCAGGTCTTATGCGGATTTGTTATTGAATTTTTTAGATAGGAATTCAGCTATAAATATCTTATTCTTTCACACATTATTTCAACTGACCAATACTTTTGACTTTTTGGTTGGATAAATGTCGTGGTACTCCATTTATGTGGCTATGTTTTGTTATTTGGGATACTGGGATTATCATGTTATTCATTTAATTGTTTATTTAATAAACTACGCGTGTGTTGCCTTGTGTTTTAGCTCAATAATCTGGTGATGCATTCCTTAGCTCTTTACTTACCTAGAAACTTCAGAACTTCTGCAGTCCCTCTCTTTGGATTCTCAGAACAAAACCGTTGAACAACCAGAGCCAACAAAGAAGGTTACAAGGACACCCATTTGTGAATACTGCCATTTGTTAGTTTGTTAAATAACCCTAAACAATAAAACTGATTTTTATCCAGGTGTCTGTTGATTCATCCAATGTTGCTAACGTTCAGATCCAGCCAGGTGATCGGTCATTAACTCCTTTGATACCAGATTTTATGGATCCAGCTGTGTGTTATCTTCCTAATGCTTATCCATTCTACTACGGAGGTATGAAATTTCTGGTTGTGCTTTTCTTGATTTTAAGCACATGTGGTGAGTATCTGTCCAATTAACTATTCTTCTTCTTCTTCTTCTTCTTCTTCTCCCCTTTCTTCTCTTATCATTTATTAGGATATGATGGAACTAGCAATGAGTGGGACAGTTACCCAAGATATATGAATGCAGATGGAGTTGAGATGCCTGTAAGTTATCATGGTACCTCTGAACTATTTCCCCCCCTAACATATTTATTGTCACTTGTATTCTCTTCTAAATTTAGACAGCATTTGTGATGGCTTATTCTCAAGGAATGAATGCCTAATATAAGGAAGAAAAGTACCTTGACTTATAATATATAGTGGTTTAGCAAGAAAATATAAAAATGCTTTTCACTGTAAAAAACACTTAAAATACTTATTAATGAAAATAGTAGGTTGATGTTTTTTAGAGAAGTGCTTCAACAGATTAATGAGAGAGCACTAATGATTACAGTACTTATACCTTATGTTCTTTCGAACACAGTCATTTATGTTTGTTTTGAATCTCATTAGGTAGTCTTTTGCACAATCACCTCTTTTAAGTTGGAAGGTGAAAGCATATGTTTGATATTTTCATTTATCTCTGAACCAAATTAAATACTGCAGGCAGTGTATGGGGACAATGGGTCACTTGTGTTTCAGCATGGGTATGGTTACAACCCCTATGGACCATACTCGCCCGCTACTTCCCCTGTTCCAACCATGGGACATGATGGTCAGTTATATGGTGCTCAACATTATCAGTACCCTACACCATATTTCCAACCTATGACAAGTGGTCCTTACCCAACTTCGCCTGCCCTTGCCAAAGGTGAGATACCCATATCTGCTGCTGCTGATCAACCACAAACTTTGAGTGTGGATTCTGCTAATGCAAATTCTAATGGTAATGAAAATGGTGCGGGCGTTAAGGGAAATGGTGGTTCAGCTCCTTCGAGACCTGCATACCATAACTCATCCTACAATGTCAATGGGTCGTATGGAAGGGGCACCATGCCAGTGGGCGTTGCTTCTGGTTATCAGGACCCAAGGTTTGCCTTCGATGGGCTACACTCTCCCATACCATGGTCAGATACTACGTTTTCTGATGGACATTCTAGGACAGTTAGCAGCAACTCCTTTACACCTTCCAACAGGAATGGCATTCCGTCATCAAGGAATCAGAGCACTTATCAAATGGTAATGAATATTATCTGTTTTTATTTTCTTCTGTTGTTTTTAGTGCTTGGTGCATTTCTCATGTTTGAAACAGACCATGTCTTTATTTTAAAAGCTCTCTAGACTGCCTCTAGAACCTGTTTCATAACATTGAAATTGGCCTCCTGGTGAAGTTCTGTCTGAAAAAGCTGAATTATCTGAACCTGCTGAATTATGAAACAATTATATCTAAAATATATATTTTATTAATAAAATAAAGAAAATTTCATAAAATTAGCTAAATAGACCTCATCAAGTTCATCTAGAAAAGTAACTTCACCTTTACTTGTTTTGATTATTACACAACTCATTGTGCAAAATAAAAAGTAGGCACTTGATCAAAAAATAATAACAAGTCTGGTAAACCAAAAACATGGGTCACCAAACGGGTTCTTTATCAGAATCAAATGCTGCTAATTTGTTTTTTTGAATAACTGCTTCCTCCTTTATAAACTATTCCATGTCTCACAGTATTGTATGCACACTATTCTATATGTCATTCCTTTTGAAGGTTTTAAATACATTATGGTATTTGCTATTCGATGAGATAATACAGATTTTGTTGTCATTACATGTGACATTTTCTATCCCTTTCAAATGGTTTGAAGCACTAACTATACATGTGACATTTCTATCCCTTTTGAATGGTTTAAAGCACTAACCATACATGTGACATTTTCTATCCCTTTTGAATGGTTTAAATCACTAACTTTTTTCCCAAGGATTTAGGTCTTCTGTGTTGAACAACTCTTAAAGAGATAGCTACCAGTTAACCGCAACACCCCCTTCATTGCCACTTTTCCTATCTTTATTCCTGCAGGGATTACACCACTCCCGGCCAATGTCAGGTACAAACGCAAATTACGGAAGCAATGGATATATAAATAGAATGTATTCCAACAATTTCTACAGTCAGTATGGAAACACCTATGGATCTGGCCTAGTCTACGGATCTAGTGGATATCAATCACGCACAAACAATCGAGGATGGGTGTCCACAGACAAGTTCAAACCTAGGGGTAGAGGGAGTGGTTATTATGGTTTTGACAGTGAGAACTTGGATGGTCTGAATGAACTGAACCGGGGACCAAGAGCCAAAGGCTCCAAAAACCACAAGGGGTTTGTACCAGTTGCTCTGGCTGTAAAAGGGCAGCAAATTCCTCTGGCGGTTCCAAATGAAAATGAGAAAGAAAGTGGATGTCTGGTTCCCGATAGAGAGCAGTATAATAAACCAGATTTTCCCGAGACCTATTCTGATGCAAAGTTTTTCGTTATCAAGTCATACAGTGAGGATGATGTCCACAAAAGTGTTAAATACAATGTGTGGGCCAGCACACCTAATGGAAACAAGAAGCTTGATGAAGCTTATCGGGAGGCTCTGCTTAAATCTGAAAGCTGCCCTGTTTTCCTATTCTTCTCGGTAACCTCTTTAATCACAAACACCTGACTCCCCTTGGGTCTGTTTAGAACTCGGGATATGCTAAAGGAAAGAAATTAGGGAAGCAAACATATGAAATTGCTTTTTGATATGTGATCAAACTTATTTACTTTGATTTATTCTTTATTTCTACGGCTTAAAGACCAATAAATCTGAACATAATGAACTTCTGAAAACATTAATCTTATAAAACCTTTCTTTTCCTTTTCAAATATAAAACAGTAAAATATGACATCAGTCTTCATTCTTCTGCCTTTTCATATAGCATTTTCAACTATGCTAGCATGATCTAACTCTGTAAGTTTGAAGGCCAGAAAGTACTCGAGAAAGAGAACAGGAAAATATAGAAATTTTGGAATATGTTTATGCTCTATTTTCCCTAGCATTTTCGGGTATCCAAACATACCCTTATTATTTGTCATGATAATAGCCTTCCTTCATTCAATTTTACTGGGCATGTATTGTCCAGGTCAATACAAGCGGACAGTTTGTTGGTATGGCTGAGATGGTGGGCCCTGTTGACTTCAACAAAAAGGTTGAGTACTGGCAACAGGACAAGTGGATGGGTTGTTTCCCTGTGAAGTGGCACATTGTGAAGGATGTACCTAATAGTTTGTTGAAGCACATCACACTTGAATACAATGAGAACAAGCCTGTCACAAACAGTAGGGACACTCAAGAGGTGATTTTTTTTAAAATGCATAATCATGAGAACGAAATGCTCTCAGATGCTAATCTACTTGAAAGTATCATAATTTGATATCTGTTACACAGATTAAGTTGGAGCAGGGACTGCAAATGGTTAAGATATTCAAGGACCACACTAGCAAGCAGTGTATCCTTGATGATTTTGAGTTTTACGAAGACCGTCAGAAGAGAATTCAAGATAAAAAAGCCAAACAACAGTTGTTCCAGAAGCAGGTTGCTTTGGTAAATTAACTCTTAAAGCGTTATAATTTCTGTTTGCTGTTGTGAGATTCTTTCATATGATCCTTTTGGACCTTGTTGGGAGAGTTTTTTTCTCGAGAAAGGGGTGAATTGTACCTGTCATTGGGTGCTGGGGGTGTCTAGTGGTTAAGTGGTACCATAAAATACACCACTTTCCTGCACAATGCACTTGGTTTTTTTCTTAGTTCCCATTTGACAATATGGCAGATCTCAAAGTTTGCTGAGTTATTTGATAGGAAAAGTGCTTGGTATATCCATTTCTGTGTTCTATTTGACTATTTTTGCACTTATTCCGATAATTCGCCATCAGAATATGTTTTGCTGATTGTGGCTTTAAAATAGGGTCCTTCATCTGTGTCACTATGTTCTTTACTTGCTAATACGTATATCGAATCTGTATAAAATAACCATATTAAATACAATATTGTCATCAGTTTTCCAGAATGAGTTCCTCCCACCATTTTCATTGAACCGAAAGTAATTTTTTCAACCACCTTCATTACCATGATGTTGTTTAAATCAATCAGGAATTTAGGTTATAGAATTCTATTAAACATGCAGGCATGCCAGGGAAAATCAACGGAAGAGAAAACGAAAGAAACTTCAAACGGGGAACTCAAGCAGCCTCATAAACCAGCGGAATCAGCAGTCACAGCAGCATGTGAATCAACTATCCAGAAAACAGCACATGTTGGTACTCAAAGTAATGGGGATATCAAGCCTGCAGAAAGCGGCTTGGTTGCAAATTCGGAAGATGTGAAAGTGGTTAAGCAAATTGCACCATCAGAGAGCAAAGCTGCATCAGATGGATCTTAGGTTGTGTTTTATATATTCCATGAAATAGGACTGACCATGGGATTGAAGTCCCTTGGAAGGTTAGCAGATGCAAATTTTCTTGGTTGGTCACCCTGCTTGGGCACACAATTCTAAATTGCTGAAAATTTGCCGAATGTCATCAAGCAATGGAAAAGACATGAATCTCGTGGTTTTCCTTATGATGGGGTGTGCTTCTACAGTTTGATTAGCTTCATTCTAACTGGTGTTTGATGATCATAGGGTTTGGTTTCTAGAGTTCCTCTACCTTTTGTTTTCATTTATTATTATCCGTTTGGTGGCTGTCGTTTTCTTTTGGTTTGATCTTCGCTGGAGAATCTTTCATTTTATCCTTTCTGTTTAGTTTTGAGTTTACCTTTTTTTTTAATATGGTTGGGAATCAATCCTCTTGTATATGGACATGATACTTGTGGTGGCTGATGCAAGGTGGAATTGTTGTCCTGACTGCCGTGTAGGAGCACTATAGAATCAATTTCTGGAAGGCATTGACAGTATAGTTATTAAAAAAAAACCGTTTCTTTATCAGTGAGTGGAACTGATACAGGAGCGCTACACGACTACATCTCTTTGTCCTATGATTCTATCGGATTGAGCATTGCTTGTTGCTTTTCGGACTGAAAATGAAATTCTTTAAAGAATATAATAATTTAATTCTATGTTCGAAACTAAAACTAGATCTGACACTGTTGGTTTCTGAGCCAAACTGCCCGGATATGAGACCGTGTAGCTTGTGAGTAGGGTTGGACTCGGGTCCGGGCCGGGGCCGGGTCGGGCCTAGGCCCGGGCGGGCCGGCGGATCAGCAATGGTGGACCCGGGACCGGCCCGGGTAACCACCGGGTCCGGTCCTGGCCGGGCCCATTATATATATATATATTTTTTGTTTTCCTCTTCCTAATTAACCCACCTCCCACCCCCAACCCCCCAAACCACCCCAAATGGCCCAAAATACCCAACCCAACTCGAAAAGTTAAAAAAAATGAAAAAAAAAAAATTGGCCCGAGCCGGGCCTTGTTTTGGGTGCCCCGAGCCCGGACCGGAAAACCCACGGGCCGGGCCTACCCGGACCGGTCACTGACCGGGCCACCGGGTCGGGCCGGGTCGGAACAGTGCCGGTCCCGGGCCGGTTCCGGGTCGGGCCACCCGGCCCGAGTCCATCCCTACTTGTGAGCGTTCTACGGGGTAGGGATGGACTCGGTTCAGGCCGGGCCCGGTTCGGGCCTTGAACCGGCTGGGCTTCGGTTCAAGGTATGGGAGGTCCGGAACCGGCCCGGCTAACCCTCGGGTCCGGGCCGAGCTGGGCCGGGCCTCGGTTTTTTTGGGCTTTTCCTAGTTAACCCCAACCCTCCCCCTCACCCCCAAACCAACCCTAACCACCTTAAATGGCCCAAAATACCCAGCCCAACCCAAAAACTTAAAAAAAATTCAAAAAAAAAAAAAAAAATTGGCCCGACCCGGGCATGAACTGGCTGGGCCGGTTCACCTTTTGAAGGGCCTGAGCCCGAACCGAGATCCCACCGGGCCGGGTGGCCCGAACCGACCAACCAACTGGTTCACCGGGCCGGTCCGGGCCCGCACAGTAGCGGGCCGGTTCGGTTCCGGGCAGGTTGGCCCGGTCCGAGTCCACCCCTACTACGGGGTATTGCATCACCCAAGAATAATGCTTTAATGTGAGAAATACTTCGAAATCGATGTGCATTATAAAGCTTATATCTTTCAGTTTTTTACACTGGCATTAAAAATATTTTGTGCACGTTAAATATTGTTCTCATTAAAGATCTATATACTATAACGTTGAATTGGGCGCAAATATTGAAAAAATTACTCCAACTTTGTTTTCCCAATGGCCAATGGGTATGGTAAATGCACAAATTCTTATACTAAAAAATGCTACAGTACTAGACATGGACTCGGGTCGGGCCGGGCCGCCGGTTTGTAAGTGATAGACCCGGGACCGTCCCGAGGTCTGGACGGGTCAGGTTCGGGCCGGGCCACCCCCTCGGGTCACGGGTCGGGCCACCTGCCGGGCTGGGCTGGGCCGGTTGAATCCATTTTTTTTATTTTATAATTTATACTTTATAGTTTTATACAAGTATGAAAAACAAACTTCAAGTGCATTTATTTGAAATGAAATAGGAACTACATTTGACAATTAAGAAAAACATACAATATGAAATAAATTTTGTAAATTGTAATCAACCGGAACTTCCCGCACCTCCCGATCCTTTAGCTTTGTCACATGACTTAATATGGTTCATTACCATCCCATATCCGCGTGAAACCCCCATGCTACACTTTTTCCCGCACCATTTGCAAGTTGCGTACCACATCCCGGTCCTCGGGTCCTTCTTATCAAAATTATACCGTATAATGGGGCATATTGACTTTCCATCTTAAAAATGGTAGATATAATAATTCTATAATAGACGGAGATGAAGATGGAGAATGGAGATTAGAGATTGGATGTTGGAGAAGATGTGTAAAAAAATGTTAGAAAATAAAAGTATTTATAGAATTTTTTGTACCCCCACCCCCAACGGCTCTATTGATTCAAATTTCAAACAACCAAAGTGCCCAATGGCTATATAGCTGTTTGGGGCTTTTGATTTCATTTTTTTTGTTTATTTTAGTTTGAATAAATTACATAATGTAAAATTAATTAATTAATTTTATGAATTCAGTAAAAAATGCTACATATAAAAAAATGAACGTATATTTATTTGAAATATGAACTACAAGTTTACAATTTACAATTGAGAATTGAAGGTAAAATTAAAACATGAAATACTAATCAATCGGAATCTCCGATATAGGTAGAGCCACAATCGGTTGTAGATTCATCCATAAAGTGTTGAGATGGGGTGATGTCAATTTCTTGAGCTCTACGGGCCGCAATCAATCAATCGTGATAGCATATAAGCATCTCAAGAGATTCTACGCTCAACCTCGTTCTACATTGCGTTAGGACATTGCTGACCGAACTAAATTCTTGTTCCACGGCAACCGTTGAAACCAACATTGATAACACTTGCTTAGCCATCTTTGCTAAAACCGGGAACATTCTTTCTTTTCCCTTCCACCAGTTTAGTACGTCAAAATCATCATCTTCTTCAAAATCAACATCATATGTTAAATACAAAGAAATCTCTTTAATTGTGCTTTGTTGCGTAGCGGGAGTTGATTTCGTTTTTTAACAAGATTGACAAATGTAGATTTGAAAATTGATTTTCCTTCAGATGATGATGTTTGTGTCGGGGGAGGGGGCGCGTTGCCATATTGTGCATGAAACTCATTAAATAATGCATAAAATATATCACTAACCTCGATGTATTCTTTTTTCGGATCAATTGGGTTGTCCTCATACATTGGCATTGGACCAAAAAGCAGCATAATAAGTCAAACATTCTTCTAAAGAACCAAGTCTAAAACGAGGATCGAGAACAAATGCAATATCATAAATATGCGGAATATGTGAATAATATTTAAAAAAAAATTCCTTCATAAAACTAGCAAAATAACTCACATAATCAGCATTCTCAAAATTTGAAAAAGCACCGGCGAGATTAACAGCTTCACGAATAAATTGGGTTGAGGTAGGTTTATAAACAGACTAAAAGTTTCAGTTGCATTTGTTAGTACCCAATTTTGATAGATTTTGATGATGCCACTATACTTAGCACGTGTACATTGTGTCTCACTTTATTTAAGTACTAGACTCCAAAAGTGACAAAATAAATGTACAATTTTTGGGACTAATAAAATTACACTGGAAAGATAAAATGCAATAAGGTAAATTTTTACCTTAAAAGGATATTCAAATCCTACCTGTATAATTCTATTTGCACACCAAAAATTAAATGTCACGAAAACAATAAAAAATTCGAAAATCATATACAATGAATGTAAATGATTGAAGACAAAACTTGACTGGCAATTAATACCGAATCAAGTAATGGGACCAAGGCATAGGACACAACACATGGGATTCTTTTCTAAAGAGATACTTCAGCGGCTGAGATACTCAAGACAGATAAATCACTCCAATAAATGCTCCAACACAAGAAGACAAAAGTACAGTTCGTCCTACCCAATTTTCAACGAATAAGATCAATCCATCCTAACCAACGGATGAGATTAATCAACTGGAGTAGCCTATAAATATAGGCTGAAACGAAAGTTTCTAACCAAGCTTTGAGCATCCAAAGAGAGAAATTCTTTCACGAGCATTCACGAGCTATCTAGCAAAAGAGAAAGTGCTATTCTAAACTTACTCTCTGCTTGGACTCATGCTTCACTAAACTTCCAGTTTACAAGCTATTCATTGCTAAATCATAGAAGTTTAGTCCCTAGTTGGAGGTTAGAACTTTCTTGTAACATTTCACATATTGTTGTAAACACTTAGGAGAACAGTTGTTCGGATCCTACAGCGTGAGTAGATAGATAGAGTACCTTTTGATCCCCACTGGTTCATTAGAGAAAAGTCTAAGGAATGAGTAACTTTGAGTGGTGCTATACTCATTGTGAAAAACCTTCAATCTAGGTCTAAGTGTTGTAAAGGCTAGATTGACACTAAGTGTATTGGGCTTAATACTTTAGTGAAATCCATCTGAAAGAGGGTGAGACTGAACATAGGAGGATTACACCACCTCTAAACCATGATATACTGTGTGTTGATTTACTTTCATTCAACAAAGCACACACTTAGCACTTCTTACAAAAAGATTGAAGTTTGCCAACAGAATCCTAAGCAGTTGTCTTAACTGACTCAATTGCTTATCCTACTGCTTAATTACTTAGTTTCTTTAAGATCATTTTCATACAAGATAAGTGCACCAATATCACCAAAATGCCTATTCTAATATTTCCCAGAAACTCATAGCAGGTGCCTCAGCAGTCCCCTGGAATCCACCCAACTGCTGAGCCCTCTGCTCATATACACTCGTTTCTCTCAAACATCTCAATATCACCAGATCTTCATATAATCACCAACCAAGAGGTTGACCAAACTGCTCTCAGAAATTCACCCTCTAAACCAAGCAGGTACCTCAACAGTGCCCTCATCACCACCCAACTGCTGATATCACTGCTTTAGTAAAACTCATGATTACTGTTACTAAAGCACATTTTCTGAAAGCCCTCATTATTCTCAGCAACATTTCATTATCACCTTCATCAAACACCCAATATCTCCTCATCAGTTGACTTAGCAGTTCCCTGCTATCTAGCCAACTGCCAGATATTTGGGTTCAATCTTTCACCAAGAGAGAAAGTATCCATACACTGATTGCATAAAGGGTAAAGACTTCCGCTGTGCGTCTATAATTCTCTCAAAAGATTATAGATCAACTCTTTAGAGGGAAAAATGCTTTAAAGTCGAAAAAGATTTAAAAGTCTATTCACCCCCCTCTAGACTTTTACCCTATCCGGGACCATCAAGTGGTATCAGAGCGGAGTGTTCCTAGAGTCATTCACTGACTATTTTGAACTAAAGATCCAAAGCCACTTCCCTTCTCAAACACTTTCTAACAATGGACATTCAACTAGCCAAAAATCTTCTGTTCTACTTAAACAAATTTGATGATTGGAAAATCAGGATGAAAGCACATCTCAGTGCT